CAGTCTCCGAGTCCATGGTCATAGTCCAGGTGGTCTCCGACTTTGGTGACTTCTGCCAGGACCAATAACATCTGTGACAGCCAGACATTCCCTAGTGCTAACATTTACCTTAACACAAACCCTAATGATGAGACTTGAAAATCACTGACAATGAGATGCAGAAGCAATACAAAACGGGAGCCCTTCCTCCATTAGTTCTGGATGATTAGTTTTTGTCCCTTGCGCAACTACTGTCGGCCACTCTCGAGGCCCTTCGCGTGCCCTGTTAAGCAGGACTAGCCCTTGCGTAGCTCCGCGGCGCCCACACTTTCCCGGGAACTTGGCATCTCCTGCTCTCCACCAGCTGTTGTTCTGCAAGCGAACCAGCGAGAGCGAGAGAGGCGCTCGCCGCTGAAGCAAAGCAAAGGGCTGATTGCCGGAAGTGGGAGCCTTCGCTGAGCCTGCCGGTTAGAAATGGGGCCGAGCGGAGGCGAGGCCGGCTCGGGCTGGCGTTAGGGCGCATGGGGCTGGTCTCCGGGCTGCGATGAGGGGCAGTGCCTGCTGCCTGCCCGGGTTAGAGCCGCCCGCGCCGTGGAGTTAGCGTCTCGCGAGCCGCCCTCTCGGGGAGTCCTTCCCCCGTCTCCCCTCGGGCTTGGCGGGGGATTTTTCAGGCGCAATGTGGCTCCCGCGCTTCTTCCCCAGCGCCTTGCTGGTCTTGGGGCTCGTTTGCAGGCGTGAAGCCTTGGTCAACTCCAGCGCGGGTAAGATATGAAGGGGGGTGGGATAGGGAAGGAAAGAAAGGGTCCCCTCTGGCCTGGACTATCCGAATAGCCGCCCCCTCCCCCGCCAGCAGCAAAGGCAATCTGTGGCTTGAAATAGAAAGCTGGCTCCTCTTTCACTTCTGCACGGTCAAAACAAGCATGCATGTGTTTTAAAAACAGATCGCTGGCAGCTTCGTTGCCCTCTTTGGATATTTTTGAACTGTGTTTGCAAAAGATACTTTCATAAGCAGGTGGACACCTCGGGATTGTTTGCCTCACAGAGATAATTAATAGCCGGGGATAATCTCTCAGGCTGCGAAGATGATCCTGGATCACAGCTGCTAGAGGCTTCAATGAGCTGAAAATAAGGGGTGGCCTAGAATAGTTTGTCAAAATTCCTAATAATGTCTCGGTCCTGGGGTAGCCGGGTTCCTTCTTGGGATCTTTATTTATTTGCAAATAACGTTTGAATAGCTGTCAAAGTACTTTGCACACTAGAATGCATTGTGCACAGTGGGGAATTGGCATGAGTTGGGTTGGTTATCAAAATCAGGTGGTTTGCATAAGCAGCAAAGTGATCATGAGCACTATAGGCTTTAAAGGAGCATGTCATGTGTTTCGTGGGTCAGGGCTCAGTCATATGTTTTGGCAACAGTGATGCTTTTTTCCTGCCGTGAACAAGCATTTCATTATCGAAGAGAGAATTTTAATAGCACTATGGCTAGCCTGTAAGCAACAGTAATGTACTTCTCCTGGAGGGCATTACTTCATTGAATGGTAAAACAGAACAGTCTCAAGACTGGTTAAAACAAAAATAAGAAATTGAACAACTACTGGTATGCCCTCCTCCTTGAAATATGTACAGTTTCATTCAAACTGTTGGATTGTGATGCACAATGAAGGTTGGACAGTGTGTGTTTGAATAATATATGTGGAAAATAAAGGTCTATCAGGTGGAAGCAATCTGTTTTATGCAAAGATATCTCTGAAATCTTTTGACGTTCTAGTTGTAACTACATTTTCAGTATGAAGAGATTATAGATGTATTGTTCACAGCACTATAGTTTGAGGCTGTATTAGCATTGCCATAATTATCCTTCTTCTCCCTGGTTCATAAACTGAATGACAGTCTGGATACACTGGATTGAAACTTGCCATGCAAGATCTTAATGCAGAAATGGTTTTTTGGTTGGTTCCAAACTTCTGATGATATCGATCTGTTTTAAGAATTGCAGAAATTGATTTTAATCTCATTTTGCTGACAACTCGTAAACAGTGTGGCTTGTGTTTTAACTTGACATTTCTCTTTCAAAAGCACTAAGTTGTGCAAAAAAAGTGTTAAGCAACATACCTGAATTTTAGTACTACAGATATCATGGTTAATTCAAGCACGTGGACTCTTTTGGATCAGTGTGTCACCATGTTGAGTCAATAGGCAGTAGAGGTTTAGAGAAACTGAATAGTCTAGTAGACCCGTGTGTGGGTATTTTTAATTTTTATTAAAGCTTGCAAAGTGTTGATCATCTCTTGGCTAATGATCCAAGAAATAGCCATGACTATGAAGCAAATTGTTCTAAAAGCCTGGTTCTTGAATCTGATGATTCCAAAATAGTTCAGCAGTGCAGTGCCATTATATTGATATAAGTTTGTAGTGTAGACCAAGCTTTAGTGTCTCCATGCATGGCAACTTGATGGAGTGTTGGCCTGAACTCTGAATTTCCTTTTTAGCTGGCCTCTTACAGTGGTTAAGGCACTCGACTACAATCCTGAAGCTCAGGAGTTCGAGTTGTGTTCCATCTTGCACTGGAAGGCCACCTCCAGTTCACCCAGCTGCAAAATGGATACCTGGTCCATGGGGTTAGGGATAGTCAAAGGTAGTCTGATGTGACACTGGCCACATCTCTCTCCCTTGTGTACTGTTGGCTATGGAATTGACTTGCCTTCACCACATCAGTTTGGGGGAACTTTGATTTGATTTTAATATCGTTTTGTAAAGCATAGAAAATATTTGGTAACAAGGTATTTCCAGCCCTTGTCATATGTAATAAGATTTTACGCCAACATTTAAAAAAATTATATGTTTGCTAATTTGGTACACAACTAGAGACACATTGAGTCTCCTTTTCTCCCTCCCCTTGGAGATGCTGAGCTGAAGTTAGTTGGGGGTGTGCTTCTGAAAATCAGGCCCTGAATATCTCAAATTGGGCACCTAAAATTAGTGAGCACTTATGAAAACCTGGGTTGAAGTGGATTGAATCCCTGTGTTTGTAAAATGCTGGTAATGACTTCCTTTCTCACCCAAACGAGACCAGAGGAAGAAGTCGTTTTTCACACTTTTTATGGTTATGTGTTGTTGGTTTCCGCAGTACATTTAAATGGGGAAACAGCAAAGTGATACTGAGATAACCCACTTCCCCTTGGAGGATGCCTGGCTACTGTTGCAAGGCAGACCTACATTTTTATAAAGCTGGTCAAAAAATGTAGGAAACGCACTCAACCAGCTTTAGATTAAAAAAACATATTTAACACATCTATGACCAAACACTTTTTAAAATAAACCTGAAATATAAATTAATAATCCATTTGGCTAGGAGTATCCAGTTATTGTTCATGTGCTTTGTATTAACAATATATCTTCTGAGTTTGGAGGAAGTGGCTGGGTTTTCTTTGCTAGCTCTCTAATTAACTCTTTCAAATGTATATTGGTGTATGAAAGAAGTTAGGTGTGTCCGATCGGTGTCCTTGCAAATGCATTACAGGATGTGTGTGACTATCTAGTTTCTAATACTCCCCTTGTAATCTCTGCTGAAATTCTAATTATGCACAGCAGTACTACTGGGTGATCAACACCAGGTTGGTACAGGAGACTTAGGCTATCATATTTCACAGGGATTCTTTCTCTTCCCTCAAATGGAAGAAAACAGTTGTATTTGCCTGTCACATAATGGCACAGCACTACAACAGTCGTGTTTATAGTGCAGATAGGGTAACAATGCCTTTGTAACAAAGTGAAAGCTTTGTGTAGTCTATGCTGTCCTCTAGTTTCAGGGAGCCAGTTAAGAGACCTAGCACAGGTGGAACTTAACTGACTTGACTCCCTTTCCAGGGTCTGCTATAGTTGCAGTGTGTTTGGGGGCTTGTCAGTGGCCCTTCCTTATGCTGATAGTTCCTGCACATAAAATACCAACATATAAAAGGGCCCTCTAGACAATCTTAAAGACTTGGAGTCCCTTGTGACTTTTTAAGAGTAAAAGGAGGGACTATAAAGGAGTGGTTGGGTTTCCCCTACCCTTTTATTTGCTGAGTTAATTTGGTTCCGCTGTGAATGTGGGTCCTTGATTGAGAGAGTTTGTATGGAATCATTGAGACAAACATGGAAACAACTCAAGGTGATTTTTGCCTAGTGGGAAAATTGAATGGCTTGGGGGAGTAGTCTGGTAGCCAAATGCAAGTTTTTGGGAATACCTTGTTTGTGTCCATACAGTGTTGGTTTGTGTGTGTGGTGTTTTTTTTTTTTTTTTTTTTTTTTTTTTTTTTTGGTTTTTCTAATTGAAAAAACCCTAATTTTTAAACAACCCTCCTCACGCC